GAGTGGGGCAGTGTTGTGCAAAGGCGTCAGCCTCACTCTCTCCTCCAGAGTCTCCTAAGTTCTCTATTGTCAAATACAGTGGGTTTCTGATAATCATCATTTTCCTGCTCTCAAGTCTTTAAAGCTCGTATCAGTGTGTGGCATAAAGGGTTCACTTGAGTCCTCATAGGCCAACCCTGGTGCCCATATTAGGCAGTTGACCAAATCTCTAAATTTTCCCATTTGCCATCTCTATGGTTTCCATGGATTTTAGCCAATCTGACCTCTCTGGTCCTTTGGCATTTGGTTCCTTGCAGTCATATGATCTAACATCACAGAGCACTGAGAGGTTTAAAACAGAAGCATAGTTCTTCACAATCTCTCCATAGCAGCCACGAAATCCTAGAAAAGCCCTTCATTCTCTCAAGGTGTTTGGAGGAGAGAGTGAGGCTGACGCCTTTGCACAACACTGCCCCACTCATATCCAATTCACAAGCAAGTCAAGACATCGCCCTTGTGATGTCATTGGTCCTCTTTGAGAATGAAGGACAAACAACAACAGAGATTCAATATCCCATACACAAACTGGAATTGTTGGCTTTGAGGTTGGCTAGCGTGAGAAATTGTTTCTTGGACATCCCAAACTAGATGTCTCCTATAAGCAGCTCAAACTCAATATGTCTAAAACAGAACACATTATCATCTCTCCCCAAACCCTCCCTTCTTATAGACATCCTTCCAGACTTCATCCTGGAACCAGATCTCCAGGCTCTGTGTCCAGGCTCCTCACCCCGACTTATCCCACATATCAAATCCATTACCAAATCTTGTCATTTCTACCTTCACAACATCTCTTCTGCAGGCTCCCTTCTCTTCACTCACATAGCCATTCAGGTAATTCAAGCCCTCAGCACCGCTCTCCTATTTTTAATAAAAGTAGCCTTCTAATTTGGTCCTCCTGTCTCAAATTTCTCCCCACTCCAATACATCCTTCACCCAGCCACCAAAGTGATTATTCTATAGCATAAGTATGACCATATCTGTAACCCCCCCAAAAAAAACAACTTCAGTGGCTCCCTATTTCCTCCAGGATCCAATATAGACTGCTCTGGTATTTAAAGCTTTTCATAACCTGGCCCCTTCTGAATGTAACCTGAGTCCCAAAGCCCATTGATATGGGACTCGCTCTCCTCATAGGTATAGATCAATGCCTGTAGCCTGCAAGAGGTAGGGCAGAGTTAGGGAGGTTCAGTCCTCTCCTGAAGTGTCTTAATCTCTTCAGAGTCCCTTCATACTCTTCAGTCTGTTTGGGTCCTTCTGGCTCTCTCTGAGAGAGAAGATGGATGAGGCTAACCCAGCTTTAGGTCTGGGAAGGGAAAATGAGACTCTGAGAAGAAGCCAAAATGAGAGGAGGTAAGCAGTCTCTGTCATGTCCCCATTCCTAGCTTGCTACATCAGACACTTTGGGGAATTTCCCCTTGGGTGAGATCTGGGACCTTCACTCTTCGATTGAGGTGACGAGTTAACTTGTGTCCAATGGGAATGCTCATTTACTCTGTGTTGTCTGTTACAGATTCCCCTTTGTATACTTTCTCTGATTTCTGTTTTACTATCAACTTGGATAAATGGTTTTCTGTGCTACTACGTGTGTTCATTGTGGGAAAGAGGTCAAGCCTTGGATATAAAGCTTTTTTTGTGTCTGAGGGGAATGGGGGGAGGGCCTCCTTTCTCCATTAACAAACACTGATCAGAAATTTAGCTTGAAAGCTACATCCCCCAGACTAAAAACATTTAAGGGAGCAGATAGATAATAATCTCAGCCTGGTCCCTCTGGCTGCTGCTTCTCTTCCAGGCAGAAACTTCAATCTCCCTTGGAGAAGTAGGGGAGGGAAGAAAAGGCTGGACGTGACTGTTCTGCCTCCCCCCCCATGCTCGAGCCCCACAATGACACCCTCAAGCAACATGTGGGGGGCAGCCCCCATACACGAGTGACCATCTTTCCAGTCTCCTCTCCAACCCCTCTACGATCGCTCTACACTGGCCTCCTCGAAGTTCCTCGAATAGACCCTCCATCTCCCCTTCTGAACGAAACCCACCACTTTGCCGGGGGTGGGTGGCATGTTTCATCACGAGTCCTCCGGTGGAGCGTGGTTGGTCATTGTGTTGATCAGAATTCCTAAGCCATTCAAAGTTGATTGTCCAAAAATCCTTTATTTTTAATAGTAAAATCCATCCACTTTGTCTACAGTACTTTAGCTCCTGAAGCCCCAAGTAACTGCTCGCCCACGTGTCCAGCCCCAGGCTCGGCGCTCGGAAAACTACAACTCCCAGCATGCCTAGGGATGCGGGAGTGGCGCGCGGTTTGACCCACCTTCTCCCGGGCCGCTTCCTCTCCGGAACCTTTCACGCTCGGTGATTGGTCCTGAGGGCTGCCCATCGGTGATGATGCTGGTTAGGATTGGTCCGGGAGCCCGGTGTATGGCGCGGAGTCCTCGCTGGGCCCGGAGAACCATGTAAAGGTTCCAGTAGGGTTCGTGCTCCGTGCTGTCCCAGGGTACTGTCCGGCCCGTCGAGGGACCGCCTTCGCCGCCAGGATGGTGAGGTTGGGGCCCGGGGAAGGGATAGTAGCAGGACACACACCCACTCGACTGCCGAGGGGGACAGCAGGGCGATGATAATAATAATTAATATTAATTAATAATCAGCCTAATCATCGCTGATGTTTACATAGCGCTTTAAGCTGGCCGAGCGCTTCACGTGCAGTAGCTCACGACCACCCCGTGGGCAGGAGGGCGCTGTCGGGACGAGGGTGATGATGATGAGCCCCATTTTACAAATGAGGAAACTGAGGCTCAGAGAGGTTAGAGGGACCTTTGGGTCACCCAGCCGCTGGCAAGTGTCAGAACCCAAGTATCGGAGCATGGTTCCTCCAAGGCTCTCTCCACTAACACCAGCCTGCCTCTCAGCGTTCCCTCCCCATTTAGAGGGTCCCCACCAATAGAGGGGCTGGACGTGGAGTCAGGAAGACTGGCTTCTAGCACCTAGGAGCTGGGTGACCCAAAGAAGGTAGTACCTCCCTCACTAGGTTGTGAGGATCACATGGGATAACCTGTATTATTATTATTATTATTATTATTATTATTTTATGGCCTAGACCAGTGATTCTCAAACTTTTTGGTCTCAGGGCCCCATTTCACTCTTAAAAGTTATTGAGGACCCCCCCACAAAAGAGATTTTGTTTATGTGTGTTTCATCTATTGATAGTTACTTTATTAGAAATTTAAAACCACTTAATATTATTGTGAAAGTAGTTTGGACTTTAAGGACCCCCTGAAAGGGTCCTAGGCTAGGGACCTGGAGTCCCCAGACCACACTTTGAGAACCGCTGTCCTAGAGAGCCAGCCTCAGGGTCCAGGAGGGCAGTTTTCAAGCCCTGCCTAGATGCTCTCGGTTGAGTGCTCCTGGGAAAGTCACTTAACCTCCAGGGCCATTTTGCTGTGGTCCCAAGAATGGCTAGACAGCCATGTCTGATGCTAGATTAGTGTAGACACAAGTGCTCCAGGTTTTCAAAGACAAGAGGGCTGGGTAAGGAGGGACCAAGTGGGGTTCATTTGTCCCTTGGCTTCAGCTCATTGGGGATGGGGGGCAGGTGGGCACAGTGGGTGTTTGGCCAGCACCTTTGGCCCTGTTCAGACACCTCGAAAGGGAGGTGGCAAGTTAGAATACTGCCTTAGTTACTCATTTAGCTATGTGACCTTGGACAAGTGACTTAGTCTTTGTCTACCTCAATTTCCTTATATGTAAAATGAGGATAAAATAGCACTTAACTCCCAGGGTTGTTAAAAGGGAAACAAATAAGATAATATCTATAAAGTGCTTTGCACACTTTAAAGATTAGCTATAATCAATCATCTCTCTTGAATCTAAAATTGACTATGGTTAAGGGGTGGGAAAAGGTCTTTGAAGAGAAAAATAATCTTCATAGACTGGTTCCAGTGATCTCATTTAGGATCTGTGTAATATCGAAAGGGTTTCTCACACTTCTGTGGGTCCCAGGCTCGTGGCCTAATGGGGACTTCTTTCTTCCCCTCGCACCTCTTTACCATCCTGGGCCATCTCTACCCCTTCCACACTTGGGGCTGGTGAGGCTTCAGATTCCCCCAGGCCTTAATCTGGCCCAGGCTTCCCCTGAGCCCAGAGCCTCTATAAATAGTCTGGCCCAAGGCTGGAGCCGAGAGCAGCCTGGGCAGTGATCGGGTTTCTTAGGCAGAGGAGGATCTACCCACACGCAGTCAACCAGGGCGGCTTTTAATCCCCCGACAAACTTGAGAATCAGCATAGGGCTTCCCCCCCCAGGCGGTCATGGGCGTCCAGCTGGTGGTGAGCCTTCTCACGGCTAGCCTTATGCACAGGATGGCCCCGCATTTCTCCTTTGCCCGATGGCTACTCTGCAATGGGAGGTAAGCCCCCCTCCCTGCTTCCTCCCTCCCTCTTCCCTTTCTTCTCTCCCACCTTGCTCCCCTCCCCATATCCACAAGGTCTCTCCCAGATCTGACTTCCCTCCTGACCACTAATGCTTCTGGACCCTGCCTCCCTCACCATTGGGTGCAAAACTGTCCTCCTACGCCCAGCTGGGCCCCTGCTTTGGGTCTGTAGCCTGTATCTCAGGAACTCTTCAGGGTGTGATGCCCACTGCCCCCCCACAGTCCGCCTGTCTCACTGTATCTCTATCCCCTGCCCCTTTACAGCCTGTTCCGCTACAAACACCCCACCGATGAGGAGCTTCGGACCTTGGCGGGGAAACCGAAGCCAAAAGGCAAGAAGGAAAGGTGAGCAGCACTTCTCCCTGTCCTTCCCACCCTGGCCCTCATGCCCTTGCCTCGTGGGTCAGGGGTCCCCAGGGCTCAGGAAGCAGTGGGAGCCCGAGGGGCCCGTTGGAGTGAGCACCGTGTGCTGGGCGTGGTGGTGCCGAGGGGGCCTGAGCCATCCTTCCCTCTGGCCCAGGAGGGCGAATGGCCTCAGCGAGGAGAAGCCTCTCTCTGTACCTCGGGACATCAACCTTCAGCTGGAGACGAATCCCATCACGGCCATAGATGCGCTTGGTAATCACAGCCCTGCCATACCTCCAGCCGCCGAGGGTGGGAGGGGGCACCCCCTTTTGGATTCCCTTCTAATCTGTGCAGGCCTCTGCTTTTTCTTCCTCTGTAAAGTGAGGGGGGTGGACTCATAGGATCATTGCATGACAGGATGAATGAATAAGCATTTATTGAGTGCTTATTGTATGCCCGGCACTGCCCTAAGCTTCGAAGCTACAGGGAGCTTACATTCCAGATCTAAAGCAAGAAGGGGCCTCAGAGACCTTCTGGGCCAACCCCCCTCATTTCTGCAGTTGGTGAAACTGAGACCCAGGGAAATGCGGGGACTTGCCTAAGGCCATGCAGCACCTGATAAGCAGGATTTGAACCCAGTTCCTGGGACTCCAGAGCCAGGGATCTTTGCGTTGTACTGTGCTGCCCCCAATGATCCCTAGGGTCCCTGCCATCGAGAGAGCCCATGGTCTCTCTCTCCTCGCCTTCCCTGTTCTTTCCATGGGGTTTGGGGTAGGAAGGAGGCAAGGATGCCTGGCTGGCCTGGATGTCCCCTCTGAGCCCTCAGCCAGTCTCCCTCCTGGCTCATGTCCTAGTGCTCCGATACTTTTCTGAGTATCAGTGGTTCGTGGACTTTGCGCTCTATGCCTGTGGTGTCTACCTCTTCACCGAGGGCTACTACTGCCTGGTGGACCCCGCGAAGGAGGCCAACATTGGGGTGCTCTGGTGTCTTCTTACCGTCCTCTTCTCTGTGTATCCTATGTCCCATGGAGGGTGCCTGTTCCCTCTGGAGGGACTGGGTAGGGAGATGGAGGGAAGTGGGGAGGGGTGTATCAGGTAAAGCCTAAAAGCATAGAACATCAGAGCTGGGAGGGCCTTTAGAACCTAGGTTGTCAGAGCTGGGAGGGACCTTAGAACATAGAATGTCAGAGCTGGGAGGGCCCTTAGAACATAGAATGTCAGAGCTGGAAGGGCACTTAGAACCCAAGATGTCAGAGCTGGAAGGGCCCTTAGAACACAGGATGTCAGAGCTGGGAGAGCCCTTAGAACCCAGGATGTCAG